GAGGGCAGCTCACAAGCAGGAGCTTCTCTTCTAAGCCAGCACAATTCTCACAAAGCGGGTTTAGGACTGCGTTTTCGCAGCGACCTCTGCTAGTCATGGGTATAAACGCATCTCTTCTCTGGTGGGAGGAGCGGGGACTCACGGCATCCCCTTTTAAAAGCCACTGTTACGAGCGGGCAGCGGTGGCAGGAGCAGGACAGGCAAAGCGAGGCACCGGCACAACCTGAGATGGTCTTGGAGTGGCCCAAGCCAACATCAGCACCCCAAATCCCAGCAGCCTGCAACACCACCTCGCACAGGGGTGATGGGCAGAGGGGCAGGAGGTGGGACTCCAATGGGCAGCACGTCAACATGGACGGGTCCCATGGGCTTGTTGGTGATAGCACAAGGATTCAGCTCCAGCCCCCTTCACGGGGACCGTGCTGGGCCATATGTGAGCAGGAACTGTGTGTGAAGGCGAGCGTTTAACTCTGGCTCTTTCCCAGAGTTTGCTGAGCTTCGCTTTGTCTTTTTAATGCTTTTACTTGCTGCTGCCAGCAGCAAAGTGGGGTTTGCACAGGTTTATCTGCTTCTGTGTGGTGCCCTGGGGTTGAACGGGTAATATCAGTAAAAGACAGAGCATCAGGCGTAATGAGGGAGCAAAGGATGCAGTGGAGAAGCAAAGTGTTTGACTGTCTCCTGTTGCCACGGGAAATACTCTGTGAATAGCTTTTATCTTCTCTGTCCCAAACACAATTCCTGGGCAGTAAGAGAAAGAGCAGAGGCTGAGCTCTTGGCAGCTGAGCCTTGTTACAACTTCACCAGCTTTTGATAAAGCTCCTGACAGTCTGTTATAGCTGCAAATTTGATTGCAGTCTGTATAAAACGTTCTTGGAGGGATGTGAATGTGTCCCTGTCTTCAGGAACAGACATTTCTGTACACGTGTAGGAAGAGAGAGGCTGGAAATCCAGCCTAAGCCTGCTCCTTTGGGAGATGGTGCCTGGAGAGCCACTTCCAGCAGAAACCCAGCACCAAGTGTCTTCCAGCACTTCCTTCGAAGACTTGCTTTTCCAGTATTTTTCTTTTTAAAGGCTCCTTGTTTCTGCTCAAGGTTCTTCAGTATCTTGGTCTGGATGTGACCGAGGAGAAGAAGAGGCAGCTACGGCAAAGCTTGACCACAGACTCACAGGGGACAGTGGCCTATGGAGGTGAGCAAACAGCTCTGTGTGTGATGGGCTTTCCATTTCTCTGTAGCTTTGCTGGCTGCTAGGAAAGGACAGAAGTATAGGCTGAAGGGTGTCAGGCAAAAGCCCTGCCTGCATATTGATGTAGCCTCAAAACAGCTAAGGAAAGTCACTAATAAAAAAGGAAGCATTTGGTAGAAGCGTATGTAAAATTAGAATAAAAGAAAGCTGGGGTGAAGGCTCACCTTCCTTTAAACCCCAGCTTTCCTGGTGAGAGCTGGCCAGAGGACATGCAGAAGATAGAAGCCTGCTCTGGTTTCTGTAACCTGCCAGAGCTGATCTGGCCCACAGGGTCTGCTCCCTAGCAGCTGTTCCACAAAACTCCAAAGCCATCAGCACTGTCCCTACCAGGCAGAGCATCTTGGCTGGATGTTTTTGTGCAGAGCAAGCTGTGGCATCCGGAACCATGCACCTCTCCCAAGAGCAAAGGGCTTTGTAGTTGGTAGCAATAGAAATAAAGACTATTAGGGCTGTTTGGCAAATGTGCTGGCAGTAAAGATGCTGCTCATGTGGAAAGGCTCCAGCTCCTGGTGCAGCCCAGGGGATGAGGACTGGAGGGGCTGGGACCCGGTCTACCCCATGCAGCCCCTCATATTGTGCTTCCCTCCCTGTCAGAAAGCAAAACGAACCTGGATTTTTGGACTTGCCTGTGTGACACCTTTTCTAATTGCTGAAGACATTGAGTTGTTTTTTTGGTTTTTTGGTTTTTTTTTTTTTTTAAATCAGCACCATGAGAAATGGCAGCAGGCAGGAGAGTCCCTTTTGTCAGACAAATGTGGTTTTGGCTTAAAGTTTTAAAACTCTGAGGACCACATCATGAAAACTCTGCTATGAAAATATCTGGGGTTTGGGGGCTTTAAAAGTTTAAGTTTTTTTTAATTGGATATGAAACAAGAGTCTGGTAAAGAATGTCAACAACTTAAGCTTGATGGGATTGCCTAAGAACCTACAAGTGTTAGAGAAGACTTTGGCAGTCAGTGGATGTCCCCACAGTCGGTGGCATTTTCTCCTACCACACTTTTAGCACTTTTCTCTTTTAGCCTGGTAAAAACTGGTTATTTCTTGCAGATCTTCTCCAAGCACTCAGGGATCTGATGCAGGAGGAGCTGGATGTTGCTGGGCTGGATTCCAACTCCATGCTGTTCACGCAGCATGAAGTAGCCTGTTTGCTGGATACATCAGCTTTTCACTCTCCGGTCAGTCTAGCACTCTTCTACACTGTATCCATGAATCTTCACCATGAAACCCATGAAATTCTGAGATGGGAAAAGCTAAATCACCATTTTCTCATTATTCTAGAGCTATAAAGAGAAAGCAGAAGTATGCATTAATCCTTTTGATTGTAAGAAATGCTATAAAAGACCTCAAACTTCTCATTTTTAATAAGGAAATGCTGCTATAAAAGACCTCAAACTTCTCATTTTTAATAAGGAAATGATGATATCTATGGGATGATATGAAGGAAGCAGCCTGGCAGGGATGGAGAAGGAAAATTAGCTATACTCAATCAATTCCAGCTAATTTCACCTGGTTCACAAAATGAAAGCTCACTGTAGCACAGTTATTCTGGCTGTGTCAGGGATCAGAGAGTGAAATCCTGTGGGGTGAAAGAAATCCCACACAGTTGAATTATTTAATGTGACTTTTGATCTGTTGCATAAAACTGCTGACTCCTTTTCAAAGTGATTCTGATTCATCCTTATTCTGGGTATGGAAAGCAATATGCCTGCCATAAAGCCCCATGCCTTTGATAAAGCATAAGTAGTGTGTAATGTCTGTCCCTCTGCCTTGCAGACCTTTGACTCTCTCAGCTGTAATGGCAATGAGGAGCTGGATCAGCTGCAGCTGGAAACGATGGATCTGCGGCAAGAAGTCCGAAGGCTAAAGGTGGAACCTCTCCTCTGAGCAGATTTCTTGGCTGGTGCCTTCTGCTGTAGCTCAATGTAGTCTATGTGAGGGTAATGGTGTAGCTCAACCCTCTTAAGAAGTCACCAGTTCGCATTCTGTGCATTTCTTGTTACAAAGGAGACTCACCCTCAGCTCTCCTTAAGTGCCTCTTTCTCGCTCTCAACCTCAAATGAAAACTGATTTGTTCCTATCACTTGGAACAAAACTGAAAAGTTATTTGCATTGAAAGTATGCAGTCATTTTTTTTTAGCATTGAATGTTTAAAACTACACAAACATCTCACAAATAGTTCAAGTCTAGGAATAACAGAAGCACATCCTCCCATCCTGACCCAGCTGCAGGTTGCTGGCATGGCTGTTAGCACCATGGCTGTGTCCAGGCAGTCTGTAGGCATGTCACAGCCCAAAAAGCACTGTGGTGAGGGGGAGTGCACATGACTGCTTCTGTAAGATATTATTATAGGGGCTACAAGACCAGGGCATCTTCTAGGGAATGTCCCATCACTTGTTGTTTCTAATCCAGTGAAAATATTTTCTGCAGTCTCTCCTGAAAGAGATGGAGAACAGCAAGAAGTTGATGGAAGATGAGCTTCAGAGGCTGAACCAGGTGAGTGAAGAGGTTACGGGGGGCCTTGGGGTGATTTTGGTGGTTAACAGCACGTGGTGCATTCACGAGGACTTCTCACCACTTCCAGAAAGCACTGGGGTTCCTCTCCGAGAACCGAACGCTGCACAGCAAGCTGCAGATGGCAGAGGTCGTGCAGAGACAAGCTCACAGTGCAGAGCAGGACTACGAGGAAGTGATCCACTTGCTGGAAGCTGAAATTGCAGAACTGAAGATGCAGTTGGCAGGGAATAAAGCAAAACACGCCTCTGAAATAGAGGTAATGCAACCCCTCAGCCTGGGAAAAACCCTACGACCTTCCTGGATATTTCTTGTGTAGGTTCCCCTCCTATTTGTAAAGGAGAAAAGGAACGTAGCACATACATCATTTGTTGTGTATGATCACAAGGTCAGCATGGTCTCTGGCTCTGTGTTATAATCTCTATCATTTCCAATGTCAGTTCCAAAAGAATAGTGCTTTTCTGTTTGTAGCAAATGACATAAATCGGTGTTTCCAAAAGCCAAGGCTGGAGTGTCATCATCACCTTTCTCTTCTCTTTCCTGGTCACAGGAGGACATCCTGGAGCTGAAAAGACAGTTGTCCCTGGCTGACGGCCAGTTACGAAAATCAGAAGTCTCACGGAAGCGCCTGGAGATCTGCAATAGGAAACTGCTCCTGTTTGTACAGGTGAAGTGCTGAAC